ATAGATAGATAGATAGATAGATAGATAGATAGATAGATAGATAGATATACAGATACAGATGAATCTCTGTCTCTCTCTGCATGTGTGTGTTTGGAAATATCTCCGTCAATTACCTTTCTTCCTGTTTTTTTTCCAGAGCCTTTTATCTCCAACTGCATTCAGCTATGGAAGTCAATATATTGCCCGTTACGAAGAAAAAGGCATTGGTATCTATCTATAACTATATATTTTTATAAGAAAAATATATCTTAATAGTCCAAATTAAATACTGTGTGTTCATTTGCTAATGCAGGTTATTCTGTGTATCCCTTCTCTTCTTTTTTTATAGGTCTGCAATGGGATAATATTCATGTGTCACCAATATCAGGAGACAATACTAATTTTAGCTGGATGTGCTGGTTAATTATGATAGATTCTTTTATTTATTTCATTCTGGGCTGGTACATCAGGAACGTTTTTCCAGGTATGCAATAGTGATTATTAAAAATACTATATTTTGAAGGATGCTATTTGACAATTTCAAAATGTAAAGTTAGGACAAATTATCCTATAATATCTATGTTATCTTTATTTCTGGGAAATCACTAAAACCATCCACTAGAAAAGGATAGATTTTTAATGGAGTTTAAGGTAACATCATTGTATTACTACTTATATATAGAATAATGACTGGTGACAATGAGAAATAGGGAAAATTTTGATTGCCCCCCCCCCCGCCCCCACTCTTATGTCTTACCTCTCCTATATTCTGTTGTTTCTTAGCTCAGCTGATTTGCGCTGCAGAGCAGATTGCCATGCCTCAGCTGAGCTAAGAAACTGCTGGTGGTCAGTGTTGCTGTCATCTGCACATGTGTGCGAATCATGCATTTGGCGTGCCCCGGAGAAGATAAGAAACAGTTGATGGTCATTGTTTGTCCCGTTTGTATGGGCGCAAAGCAGGGGGCAGGAGGCAGAAAAGTTCAGCCAAGTCTTCTTCTCCTTCTCCTTATTTTGTTCAGCCCATGGGCAGAGAGGGTGGAAGGTACGTACGTAGGCAATCTCCTTATCTCTGCAGCATTGGTCATGTAACTGAGTGGGCATGGCCAACTCAACGTCATTCACAGGAAGGTGCCGCCCCACCTTGCCATGAGTGACATTGAGTTAGCCACGCCCCACCTTGCCATGAGTCACATGACCACCAAGCCATGGCCACAGAACCGGTGGTGGTAAATATTGAATCCCACCACTGCTTCAATTCTTCTGGTTATTTCCAAGAATCCTAGGAAAACAAATGAACTGTTATTCTCCATCCCATCCATTTCCCCACGTGTAAAGATTTGACTACAGCAGCCTAGCTGCAAAAATGCTACCGTGCTATTCTTTTAGCTTCATAATTAGCAGAGGCTTTTACAACAGAAATAGAAGGAATTAATCCTTCAAAGCAGAGTGCTTCTTGTTTGTAACAACTGCTATGCGGAAGTGTCCATGATCTCACACAGGAAAATGTTCAAATTAATTCTGTAGCACACTGTTTCCTGCTCTGTTTTCATAGATTTCATTTCAGATAAATTCAGAAATGCCTGCCTACGATTTCACATGAATATTTAGCAGTCAAATGTTCAGTTGAAATAATGTGGCTGTTTGTTGTTTGGGAAGAGAACAGTAGTCTCATACTTTGAGATGATGAAAGCACACAAAACTCATCTGTTGTTTTCTTTAGGTCTGATATTGTTGAGATAATATCAAAATGTTACTACAGAGCTTTTCAACCTCTCTCCCATTTTTGTCACTATTCTCATTTCAGGGAAATATGGGATGGCAGCTCCATGGTATTTTCCATTCCTTCCATCTTACTGGACTGAGCGCTATGGTTATTTTCCTTTGTGGAGTGAGAAGTTAACAGGCTATCTTTTCACCAATTTCTTCTTAAGAAAACAACCTGCTTTCCCGGAAAAGATGTGTATGTTTCCTTTTAAGTATAAAGAAAATCTTTTGATAGATTGGATAATGAAAATGTTATTACTGTCTTAGATGAGAGAGCAGCTAAACTATAATAAGCATAAACCAAAAATTAAAAGATAGAACCAGTAGAAAATAATAAGAAATCTATATATTCAAACTTTTAAAAATTTGTCCTAAATTATTTACAAAGTTATTTCAGCCCCAAGGTTGCAAGGCCTTATGTCAGCATTTTGCAAAGGAATATGTAACTTTTGACCTTTTTGTCTCTGAATGGATATTGAATGTAAAATTTATCTGGATGGTCTGGAAAATTTATTTAACAATGGTTGGTTTCGCCTTTGCCCAAGGGTCAGGATAAAAATTTCCAGTGAGGAACCTATGCAATTATCTCAGTGTCCCTTGATTTATGCAGATAGAGTCTATAGGATATAACTATCAGATATCTGAACAGGCAAAGGAAGACGCAGACAATTGGAAAGGAGGCCAAATGGGGAGAAAAGGAGGAAAACACCCTGACTGTTTGGCATCCATTATAAAAATCAGAGTGAAAAGCTATAAAATGTACTTAGGACTATAAGCACATGAAATTACCTTTTCCAGTATTGTGTTTTTTATAATCACAATATCTTCCCAAAAAACTTTATTTTCAAGAACTTATGCTAGTCATAATATTGAAATGACAACAACGTGCTTTTCCGATTTTGTGACCTACAGACTATAGTGATCGTAGATTTGAAGGAGCTGGATTGAATCTAATTGCTGAAATGACGGAATAAATTATTCATTTATTTATTTATAGAATTTATTGGCCACCCATGTTACCATGAGGTTATGGTAAGATGGGAGGGTAGGAGCATGCGCACGTGAGCATTCTCTGCTCATGCTGGGGCGGGGGGGCTGAGAGCGCCTGCGGTGCTCATACAAGTGGAGCCAAAAGCACTCATGCGAGAAAGGAGACATTAAGAGCAACTCTAGAAAATAACACTAAGAGGAACTCTAGAAAATAACCATTGATACTTGAGATAGTCTATGCATATGTCTATGCATATGTGCCTTTGAGTGTCTTTTTTGTCTGGTTGAATTCTTGCAGTTTTCTTGGCAAGATTTCTGTAGTTTGCCATTGCCTCCTTCCTAGGGCTAGAGAGAGTGATTGGCCTAAGATCACCCAGCTGGCTTTCTGCCTAAGGCAGGACTAGAATTCACTGTCTTCCATTTTTTTAGCCCTGTGTGTGTTAACTATGATATCAAATTAGCTCTCTTGGGAGACATGAGTGGAAATAAATAGGCTACTGGATTCCCCGGTATATCTGCCAGTCTTTGACATTCATCTTAAGTTATTCTGTGACTCCGTATGCCAGATCCAGTTTGGTTACTTCTTGTGCCCTATCTCAACCTAATAATAGTAATTACTTTGATGAGAGGTTGTGGGAGAGCTGATTAATTTAGTATAGAACAGCCTTCTTTGACAATGCATGTTTTTTTTGGATGATGGGGTTAGCAAACTTGCTTTTAAAAAAGGGGAAGATATTAGTTACAACTCAAAATCTTTCACGAATGAGGAGATGGGAGAATAAACTTTAAGAGCAAATTGTAATTCTTATTCTACAAAAATTGGCTATGTCTAGTTTAATGAAAAGAAGGACTAGGGGGTGACATGATAGCAGCATTCCGATATCCCACAAAGAAGAGGGAGTCGAGCTATTCTCCAAAGCACCTGAGGGCTGCAAAAGAAGCAATGGATGGAGACTGATCAAGGGGAGAAGCAACTTAGAACTAATAAGTAATTTCCTGACAGTTAGAACAATTAATCAGTAGAACAACTTGTTTCCAGAAGTTGTGAATGTTTCAACACTGGAAGTTTTTAAGAAGAGATTGGACAACCATTTGTCTGAAATGGTATAGGGCTTCCAAGGTTCCTTCCAACTATTCTATTCTATTCTATTCTATTCTATTCTATTCTATTCTATTCTATTCTATTCTATTCTATTCTATTCTATTCTAAAACAGCTTGTATTTAACATAAGATTGCTTACATTTGTACATTATTCTACTTCACAAATATATTGACTAATTTCATCAGGATGTAAAAGTCAATTTAAATCTGAACTCTGGTTGGTGGGTGGGGAGACATTATCACAGACATTGGGAAAAGCCATTGTTCACATTTAAACTTTTACATGTAACTATATCTTTCTATGGTTAAAAAAATTCTTGGATTTGCTGTTAAATATGGTGCTTATTAAAGCCAGAGTTATCCTAGTATTCATATTAATTTATGTAAAACATCTACATACAGCCTGTTCACTATGTAAAAATGCTTTTGTGCACTCACATTTAGTGAGTTTGCTATGCAGAATTTTCCCTGTTCAGAATCTCTCTTCTGAACAGTTCTTGCACAATGCAGCAAATTCTAACAGTAAGACAACCAGGCAGACAGGCAGGCGGAAGGAAGGAAGGAAGGAAGGAAGGAAGGAAGGAAGGAAGGAAGGAAGGAAGGAAGGAAGGAAGGAAGGAAGGAAGGAAGGAAGGAAAAAGGCACAGCAGGTACAGAACAAGACCATGATCCGTTCAAATTGAGTTTATCAGAAAAAGTCTGGAATCGAAAGATAGACATGGTTCAAACTTCAAACATAGTTCAAAAGTAGCATTCTTCCTTCTTGCCATTCAATCCACACATATTTTATAAAAATTGAGTTAAAGGGGAGAGGAAATGACAGCAGGTAGGGAAAGGTGTTAAAATGTTAAAATTAACAGAGTTGGAAGGGACCTTGGAAGTCAACTACTCCAACTCCCGCCCAAGCAGGAGACCTACACCATTTCTGACAGATGGCAGTCCAGGCTTTTCTTTAAAGCTTCCAGTGATGAAACTCCCATAACTTCTGAAGGCAAGCGGTTCCATTAGCTGATTGCTGTCACTGTCAGAAAATTTCTTCTTATTTCCAGGTTGAATCTCTCCTTGTTCAGTTTCCATCCATTCTTCGTTGTCTGGCCTTCAGGTGCCTTGGAAAATAGCTTGACCCCCTCCTCTCTGGCAGCCCTTCAAATATTGGAAGACTGCTATCATATCTCCCCTGGTCCTTCTCTTCATTAGATTAGCCATGCCCAGTTCCTGTAACTGTTCATTGTATGTTTTAGCCTTCAGTCCCCTAATCATCTTGGTTCTCTTCTAGACTCTTTCTAGAGTCTCAGTATCTTTTTTATAGTGTGGTGACCAAAACTGGATGCAGTATTTTAGGTGTGTTCTTACTAAGGCGTGTTCTTACAGAGTGGTATTATCAATGGAGCCATGGGTCTTATTTGGACATACTGATTTAACTGCAGGAAAGCTTGCATTGTACTAAATCAACATAAACTATTTCAGTTCAATTCAATCAGATATTGAGAAATGTGCATAGTATTTACACAACTTCTGGCACTTTCAAAATCTCTACGAATTCTGACAAGACTCCCTGAACTGAGTTAAGTAGGAGAAAGAGACGTGGACAGGGGGAAGATGCTATATAGGGTTCTTTATAAATTTTACATCTTTCTTTTTTTTAGATGTTCACAGTGCTTCACCCTCTAACATTGAACCTGAACCCACTCATCTCGAAGTGGGAGTTTCTCTCCAAGGAATAACAAAGATTTATGAATCCAAAGCTGCTGTTCAGAATCTCAATCTGAATTTTTATGAAGGAAATATCACCTCATTGCTGGGTCATAATGGAGCTGGAAAAACTACCACAATGTAAGTTCTGTTAGAAGAAAAATGTCTCAGAATAACTAACAAAGTTTATTGAGTATAACATTACATTGAGAATAACATTTCATTTCATTACATTACATTACCACACTAATGTAATGTTTCTTGAGTCCTGTTATCTGCCAGGTTGGGATCTGGTACATTTCTTGGATCGAGGATCTTTTTGTTTTCAGAGCTGGGTTGAGAATGGCAGGAATCAATTGTGGCCCCCCACCCTTATTTCTGAATTCTGTAACCTAACCAGTCTACAATCTCCATGATGATAGATAAGCTTTTGGTCTTATTTCTGGACTTTCCTCATTTCTTTCCCCACTCCTAGAGAACTCAGAAGAAGTGCCATTTTAGATGCATGTTTTGGTATTGATCACATTTCAGTCTTTTCTGACTCCAAAGAACTGCTGGGAAGAACTGCTTTCCAATTTGCTAGGGGCAAAAATGCCCTATTCCACTAGATCAAGGGTCTTCAAACTTGGCAAGTTTAAGACTTGTGGACTTCAACTCCCAGAAATCCTGAGCTAACATGACTGGAGGAGGAATTCTGGGAGTTGAAGTCCACAAGTCTTCAAGCTGTCAAGTTTGAAGACCCCTGCACTAGATGGTCATTCCAGGTAGCCAGATTATATATCCCAGTCCCAGGGTTCGACTCTCATGCTGTCATTGGCAGTGAGTGATTTGTGAATACAAAGAATTAATGGCAGTCTCATCTTTACCCTCATCCAACGTAGAATTGGTCCACTTTTTTCCCCTTCAGTTTTTATACCAATGTAACTACTAACTTCTATTGAATAAAACGTTTATATTTTTTCACAACTTTTCTTCCCTTTCCCCCATATAGATCTATACTGACAGGTTTGTTTCCTGCTTCATCTGGCACTATATTTGTTTATGGCAAAGATATCAGAACTGATCAAGATTTCATCAGGAAAAATATGGGAATTTGCATGCAGCACAATGTATTATTTGATTACCTCACCACAAAGGAGCATCTGCTTTTATATGGCTATATCAAGGTGCCCCAATGGAGCAAAGAAGAGTTACAGGAAGAAATAGACCGGTATGTCATAGTATTTTTAACAGAATAAAACAGTCTTCCTTTTATGTTTGTTAAATATTTCTCTTTTTCCTTTTGCAAAAAATATGTAAGAGTGCAATTATTTAGTAGCACTAACATCACTCTGTGGAAAATAAATTTGGGGAGAATGCTTATATACATACATACATACATACATACATACATACATACATACATACATACATACATACATACACACCTGTCATGGTAAGCCCTTTTAGGATAAGTAGTATGAAAAACACACTGTGTTTATCCCAAAAGGGCTTAGTATGACAGGTATTGTATGTACATAGGTATGTATATAAGCATTTTCCCCAAATTCAGTCCTCAGTGATATTTATTTATTTAGATGAAGGAACAGTGAATGTATTGAAAGGAAGCAAAGACTTATTATATAAGACTTCTTCTTCTTATAAAGAAAAGAAATCAAAGCCATAAGAATAAAGTAAAATAAAGTCTAGTCTACACTAACCCCATTCACTATGCACTCTCTCTCCATATCTTTCATTTCTGCAAACCATTCTTACTTTTACTATCTGCAGGCACAACTTCATACATTCCTTTTTATTCTTTAATCTAATCTTTCTCTTTTTAAGGATCTCATCAATTCTATTGTCTCACAACTTTCTCATAAGTGTCACAGTCTTAATTTCCTTTCAACACATTCACTGTTCCTTCATATATTTGTTTTGCTGTTCAGATCTCATTCAGTCTTTCTGTATGACCAAAATCAACATATATCTTCTGTACAGGTCATTCTTTTTTTTCCAAGTCCCATTCATTTGTTTCCTTTTTCTACATATTATACAATATCTTTTTCTTATTCTCATTTCTTGCTGTGCATTTATCTAACTCAGCCTTAACAAATTCTGGTCTTCAGTCCCAGAGTTTCCCTATTAGCATGGCCATTGCTGATAATCCAAGAGGTCCATGCATCTGGAAGTTCCCAAGGCATGGAAATTCTTCGACATTGCTTTGATTTTTTTTTCTATCATGCTAGCTATTACATCCTATTTTTCACACTCTGCAGATTTGATAAGCAATGCCTTCACCTCCATATTCAAGTCAATAATTAATAATATATTGACGAATGTGAATGTGAATGTTTGCAACCCCACTTTATCTTTATTCACCTACAATCACATATGATATTCCACGAAATGACAACAAAAGTAGAACAACCTTTTCTTACAAGGAATATACTTTCAAGCCACTAACATTCTTGCTCTGTTGACCAAAATCGAGCTTATAGTTAGTTGGAAAACACTTGATGGAAGCCTTACAAAGTTCTCATATCATGATGAGTTTGCTAGCATTTGTCCACTGCACAGATGGGCATTGAAGTCCTTTATTGCTGCCAATTTTTAATAATGCGTCTTAATGAAATATTTGATAATACTTGGCTGATTCTCATTAAAAACCAGCAGGGTGCTAAATCATGCATAATATTTTCCATGTCTTCTGTGATTGGGAAGTTTTATGCTGAAACTAAGCTGTCATTTAAAAAAGATTGTAATAAACAAAGGAAAGTGCTTGTAGTTTAAGGTTTATTTCAGGAGCTCTGTTTTGCTTTATTCTCCATGTTATGTTACTCTGTTATGACTGAATCATGTGGTGCCTTATGCAATGTCCCCCTGCCCCCAATTTTAAAGAATCATCGAATGTTCAGGATGATAAAAATATTGAAGACCTCCTGCACAGTCCTACAGCATCCTGACAAGTGCCTGTCCGAATTTTCTTCAAATATCTCCAGGGAAGGAGAGTTAAAAATAACAACATTAGCAAGTAAACATTAACAAGTAAACTGTTAATGTAATGCCTTTGTTGAATCATTGAACTCTACTATTAAGATTTTCCTGGTGTGCTTTCAAAATCCAAATCCTTGTAATTTAATTGTTTCTTTTTCTAATTTTTTAAAACTAAAATTTTATCATTCTTTCTTCTACGTATTTACAAAATAATGTTCTTTCGGTGCTGTTTTGAAGGATTTTGAAGGAAACTGGATTATACAACCATCGTCACAAGTTGACAGGCTCTTTATCAGGAGGGATGAAGAGGAAGCTATCTATTTCAATTGCTCTACTGGGAGGTTCAAAGGTTGTAATTTTGGATGAACCAACCACTGGAGTTGATCCCTGTTCTAGGAGAGGCATTTGGGAAATCATATCAAAGAACAGAAAAGGTAATACGGGCAGGTTATTGTGATTTTAGCTTTTTAGAGCAACAAGTATTACTACAATATTAACATAATAACAGGTTAAGCTTGAATGACTATTACAGATATAGTCACAGTTATGGAACAACAAACATACATTAAAGAGAAGTTTTCAAATGTTAAACTTTCTCTTTGATAAGAAGAGAGGCCTGTGCAGCTGCTCTCCTTCAAAATAGCAGTAGGAAAAGCCAAGAACACCTGCAGACTTTGCCTCTTCTTGCTCCATGGCTGGTTGAGTTCTAGCAGGAGAGACATCATCGCAGAAAAGGCTAACTTTACCCAAGCACCAGGAGCTCTTTGTCCTGGGTGAAAAGACCACCTACTGCCATAGATGGAGAACCAGCAGCTCATGGCTCTTGGTGACTGTAAGATTGGATGGCAGTTGAGGCTGATAAATTGACTTGTAGCAGTGGTGGGATTCAAATTTTTTACTACCGGTTCTGTGGGTATGGCTTGGTGGGCGTGGCTGGGGAAGGATACTGTAAAATCTCCATCAGTCAGAGGTGGTATTTGCCGGTTCTCCAAACTACTCCAAATTTCTGCTACCGGTTCTCCAGAACTGTTCAGAACCTGCTGAATACCACCTCTGACTTGTAGGTATGTAATAAAATGTGCTGGAAATCTCAAATTGGGATTTTTGATAAACAGTCTCCAGCATTCCTGAATTGTTCTAAAAAAAGAAAGAAAATTGTTTATGCTGACTGGTTCTTCCCCAGGAGAAAAGAAATAAAACTGCAAGTGTTTATTTCATTCTTCCCATTGTTTTGAATCCTTTTCTGGCCCAATGAGCTCCTTTTCTGCACCCAATGAGCTCCTGAGTTTGAGCAATTCATTTTTCACTTGGCAATTTTTCTGCTGCCACAAGAATCTGTATGGAAATTGTAGTGTAATCGTCCCCTTTATATGTTCTTTTCAGGCAGAACAATCATCCTTTCTACACATCACTTGGATGAAGCAGAGGTCTTAAGTGACAGGATTGCATTCTTGGAACATGGAGGTCTCAAATGCTGTGGGTCCCCATTCTACCTCAAGGAAACTTATGGTAGTGGATACCACCTGACACTTACTAAAGAAAAGGTTTGGAGCAATAATTACTCTCAGTATTTAATAAAAAGTAGGAAATTCTAATAGTAATTTCAAAATCAAAGTAAGCTCTGGTGGAAAAAAAGTATCTTAATGAAAATGATGCTGTATTCTTTATTGATTGATTGATTGATTGATTGATTAGCCCTTGGGCCTTATCAAAGTGAAAAGTTCCAGAAACAAATTATTACTAAAATTTGATAAAATGGCTTTAATCAATTTATAGGTTTCAGTGACAGACAAGATAAAATCCAGAGACAGAGAGTATAATCTTTACTTTTCATGGTATTCTGTAAATTTTTGAACAAGTTTTGAGGAGCATGTAGAATGTTCTGACATTCTCCAAGCCATCAGTAAACTTTGATTTAATGATTTAAGACAGGACTGAACTTGGCTAATATTATTATAAATACAAGACTATGGATATGGTACAGTAATGATAAATATTGTTAGTTGATGAATTACTCTTTTAATTACGATTATTTCAAAAGTTGTTATTGGATTGTTCAAAATTTGCTTACAATTTCCCAATAGTTTAGGAAGATTTTTAGTCATTATGTATTCCATAGTATCTAAAGAGATTTCTTGTTCTTTATATAAATTGGTATAATAATTCTAAAAAAGTATTTGAATGTTTTTGTTGTCCATGTCAATCTTATTCCCTCTTGAAGCTTGGTTATCATCTTCTTTTCTGTTTTCTTAGTGCGTATACCAATCTGGTTTATTTGCCTGTTCAGAAAAGTGTTGTTTCATATATTTAGGTTTGTTTTCAATATTTGAAACAGTCAACAAAGATATTTGTTGTTTCAATAATTTTAGTTGATTAAGTATATTACAATCTTCTGGTGAATTCTGGAGCTTCCTCTCCATTTCTTGTAACACATTTTGGATTTTTTCATCCATCTTTCTCTTAATTGCTGTATTGTATTATATAAAATGTCCTAGCCTTACAAGCATCCCAAGCTGTTGTCAAATTGATTCCCTTACCTAAGTTATTGTTAAAATAGTCTTAAATACCTGTTTACATTATTTAACAATCTGTGGTTTCTGCAAAATAGATGCATTTAATCTCCATTTAAAAGAACCAAATTTAAGATGCAAAATCATTGGATTATGGTCAGAAAATATTTTGGAAGAATAATAAGAATTATAAATTAATTATAAATTAATTATAAATAGTTGCTTTGTTGAAGTAGACTTTTTGTAATCTAAATCATATCAATTGTAGAAAAGGATTTATGTCTGTCTGAAAAAATGGTAATGTCTTTTGTTAGTCCATTTTTATACCTCCAAATATTGATCAAATTTAAAGTATGAGCTTGAAAAAAGTTTGGGGCAGTTCCTCTTGTGTTTCTTTAATTCCTTTATCAGCTGATCTGTCCAATTGTGGGGTTACCTACCCCATTGTAGTCTTCAATTACAGACAAATATTGAAAAGAAGTGTCCAGACAGATGTTTTAAAAAAACCTGGCTTTTTCTTGGTGTGAGGTGTATAATCTCACCATAATTCATTTTATTCCATGTAATTCAATTTGAACAATTACATACATGCCTTGATCATCAGCAAAAAATAAATATGGATGTAATTGGGGTTTTATACACAAAACTACCCCATTAGTTTTTTTCTTTGAATTAGCAGAAATAAATTCCAGACCCACAGTGTTATTTGTTAACTACTTTTTCTCAGTCCCTTTAATATGAGTTTCTTGCAAATACATTGTATCATGGTTCACTTTTTTAAAATAACGAAAGAAACTTTTTTCAATTTTGTGGGGAATTTGCCCCATTGACATTTCATGTCTTGCAAACCATCTGTTATGAAGAGGAAGTTCCAGGGAATCGAGCTGAGGCTCCCATCTTCACAGGCTGTCCTTGATAAGCATCAGGCCTCTTTTTATCTTTTTGTTTCTAATCTTTATCTTCTGAAAAATAGTGTAGTTTCGATCTGTGTTTTTCCAAAAAGCCTTGTGCTTTAAGGACTGAGTTTAGTCTATACCATTGATTTTAAAAGATAACCCCTTCCAGCTTATCCCAGTGAAAGGAAATATTATTTTGTTTCAGAAAATCTGTCAGAGAAAATATTCTTTGTTTCCTTAATATTGTAAATGAAATTTCTCTAAACTTCAAGCTGGGTGCCATATTACTAAGCCTTATTATCATGAGAGAAAACTAAAATGAATTGGAGGATCCGCACCTCTACCTCCTTTTTTTAAACTCTTACTTTCAGTGAGCAATCATGTGTCTTGGCCACTCCAAAGCAATGCAAAAGCACCAAAGGTGCTCTTTCAAGAGGCAACTGGACTATCTGGAAACCAAGAAAGTCCAGATGCCTCTTGGAAAAAAGCATCTTTGGGACAACCATGACTGGAAGACTGAAAAATCCCTATAGACAACAGACTCCTGTGCTCAGGGAACTGACAAAGCACCTTTCACACCCAGGAAAAGCAATCCTTAGAGCCATTTGAAACACTTAAAGATACCAGCTGGTCTCACTCACCACATAAGATATCCTAAGGAAATCATCCAGATTTAAGGAAAGATCACATGGCTGCAGAAAGGCAGTAAAAAAATCAGTGCCAAGCTTGCATCCTGCCTCTTGGAAGTACATTCCAAAAGGACAGTCCCAGGAACCACTAAAGCAATGTAAAAAGCTTAAAATAACCCTTCCCCTTTAAGAAATTCAAGCCCCCAATAAAGCAAAGCAAAGTACCAGCAAAGAAAAAACAAACTCTGGAGAAGCTCAGGCAACAGTAAGTCTGGGCGTACTGCCAGGAACCTTTAGCAGTTTAGCTGTTACAATGTAATCAGGTTTAACCAAGAGGCGGTTTATTTAAGCAGGGCAATAAAAATTAGGCTAGAAACAACACTAGAATATTTCCTTCCTACCTTCCTTACAGGACTAGCCCTGTAAAGTAGAAAAAACAAAACAAAAAGACATTTCTTCCAACAACCGGTTCTCCGAACTGCTCAGAAAGTTAACAAACAGTTCTCCCAAATAGGTGAGAACTGGCTGAATCTCACCATGTGTGTGTGTGTGTGTGTGTGTGTGTGTGTGTGTGTGTGAGAGAGAGAGAGAGAGAGAGAGAGAGAGAGAGAGAGAGAGAGAGAGAGAGAGAGGTGGCATTCAGGTTCTGACCAGTTCTGGAGAACCGGTAGCAGAAATTTTGAGTAGTTCGGAGAACCGGCAAATACCACCTCTGACTGGACATTTTATAGTCTCCTTCCCCTGCCAGGCCCACCAAGCCACACTCACAGAACCGGTAGTAAAAAAATTTGAATTCCACCACTGGTGTGTGTGTGTGTGTGTATAAAGATAATACAAAGGTAGTCCACAAAAATATTTAAAAGTATTTAAAACATTGTAAAAAAATGTACTGTCTGATTATTTGTAATCCACAAACCAAGGTAGAATGATAACGGCAACTCAAGGCAATAAAAGCTTACCATCCAGACAATAAATATTTGCGAACCAGCAGTAAAACTTTACAATAGTTTTAAACAACTTTTTAAAAGGTTAATTCAGTTTTCTCTGGATTATTCAATATGTATATATAAATCATATTTAATTCATTCATGATTATTTAGTAAAGGCATTAATCTTTATAAATCCTTATAAATATGCAGAAAGAAAAGGAAAAAAATATCCTTGCGAACACACTTAATTCAGTAGACGGGGGAGGGGGGAGGGAGAACACTCATGCAAACAGATCTATGCCTAATTCATTTTACAATTATGTCTATATAAGTATGTTCAGTTGATGGTAAAAAGGACGATGCAGTCAATATTGAAGAAAAGCAGTTCACTATATAAATAAAATTTTCTCAATGCTGGGATGCTGTGCTGTGTTTTGTCATCAGCAGAACAAAGGAAACTGTAGACAGACCATACTACACAGCAGAACCCAGCAAAATAAACTTTGCATCCAAATAAATGTTTGATTTCCAAGATTTCTCTTCTCTTCCAGTCCAGTCTTTTCCTCCATTCACCTTTTTTTTCCTTATGGTTACATTTTTTTTTAGGCTTTTAATTAGATTATTCAGGAGAGCCGCGCTTCTGCAGTCTGCTCTCGCTGGCTATTCTCTGTTCACTTCAGCTCTGCGGATAGGAATTTAAATATCCACCAAACTTTTTGCTTTTCCAAATGTTGTGGTGCAAATTAAATTTATGAGAACCGTGGTGGTTAACCTTTTCAGCACTGGGAGAATGCGCGCCAGCCACCTGGTCTTCTGGTTTCTAACGTGTATATGCGTGCGAAGACCAGCTGGTGGGCGCACATGCAGGTGCCGTAACCCAGAAGAGCAACAGGCAACAGCTGGCGTGCCCGAAGAGATGGCTCTGCATGCCACTTCCGGGACATGTGGCATAGGTTCGCCATCATGGTATTAGAGTATCTTTTAAATATGCATTTAAAAGAAAGTCCATGTATTTAAATATGTGCGTTGTATGGCCTTTTAAAACAGAGAATTAATGGGAAACTTTATCAAAATTATCAAATATATCAAATTTGGCATGACCAGGTTTGTACATATTTTGCATATTTTAAAAGAATTTCATTGGATATCTATTAAATTTTGGACTTTTTTCGACTAATCATATTTATATGTTGCCCAAAGCAAATTGCTAAAATCTTTAACCGAGGCTCTTTTTCAAAGGCTCATCATGAGAAAATATAGTTTAAGGCTATCTGCTTCTTTGCTGCTATACTCCATAACCAAAAGTCCTCCATAAAGAAGCTAACTTATTTCCCATGTTGAATGTTTTGGGCCAAAGCTTATGCAAATTAGGATATCTAATCTAGAGACTTAAATTGCAAGCCAATTTCCTGCTGTCTATATCCATCAACTAGCAGATACAGTTTACTGATGTACTCAGGATACCTGAATATAGTTTTATTCAGTTGTTTCAAACTTAATTTCCTTCTCATGTATCATGTTTTATGGTATATTATGAACATTAAAATTTTGCTGTGTGGTGCTTTATTATCCCCTTATGTTTCCCCAGAGCTCAGTTCTGAATGTAGGAGAATGCAATACCTCTACCGTGACAGCCACAATACAGGCTCATCTTCCAGAAGCATATCTCAAAGAAGATATTGGTGGAGAACTTATCTATGTACTTCCTCCATTTAACAATAAAGTTTCTTTATCCTATCAGTCTCTTCTGAGAAACCTGGATAGTAATTTAAGTGATCTACATATTGGCTGCTACGGAATTTCAGATAGCACTGTAGAAGAAGTAAGCATCTAGCACAGTGGTGGGATTCCATTTTTTTTTACTACCGGTTCTGTGGGTGTGGCTTGGTGGGCGTGGCAGGGGAAGGATACTGTAAAATCTCCAGTCAGAGGTGGTATTTTCTGGTTCTCCAGACTACTCAAAATTTCTGCTACCGGTTCTCTAGAACTGGTCAGAACCTGCTGAATACCACCTCTGATCTAGCAGCTTTAAACAATCAGATTTATTAATATTTTATAAAATTTTATTATTTTGTTGCGCTGTGAGCCAAATGTTTAAACTGGATTTGTCTTCCCCCCATCTATTAAGATCTTCCCTTAAGGACCTGGGATAGGCAGATGTTGTTTTATTGTGTTAAAATTATTATCACAGAATGTAAGTTGTTCCAAGTAAAGCTGCCTCTTGCAATTGACTAGTGGTGATTTTATGAATGCTGATGGTATTCAAGTGATGCTTGTTATGTTTGCAGTTATTATTGTTCACTGAATATTTAATTATATGTAAAGATAGGAAAATTTGTTGACTTCATTTTAATATGTCTCAAATGTATGTGGAACTCATATATAATTTGTATACTAAAATAGGTATTTAAAATTGCACTTAGTTTGCATCACAGGATTCAGTAAAACAATATATTAAGATTATATGCAAAACCATTTGAAAAAAATATAAACATTTAGAGTTGCACCAAATGCAAACTCAAGTTTATATGAACTTTTTTTTTAAAGTTGCAAACTGATCTGGATCAGGAAATGAAAAAAATAAACTGAAGATGGGAAACAACAATGACACCAGTGATGGGATTCAAATTTTTTTACTACTATGGGCGTGGCTTGGTGGGTGTGACAGGGGAAGGATACTGTAAAAACTCCAGTCAGAGGTGGTATTTGCTGGTTCTCCGAACTACTCAAAATTTCCTCTACCAGTTCTCCTGCTGAATACCACCTCTGAATGACACCTTCTCTAATTGTAGGGGGTTCTTTGTCTAGTAGTGCATTTTTGTCAGTCAGTGTGAAAGACCATAGAGGAAATTAATATTCTCTTCCCATTATGCTTACATGTTATATCTATGCAATGGCTTCTTATGAGGATGGTCATTTACAAAGTAGAAACTGTATGAATAAAAGTTATTTACAGAACTATGAACTGACATAAGATTCTGCACACAAACTGGAAACAATCAGTCTAACTTAAACATAGAGCATATGTGAAGTTGCATGTGTTTTCAATCTTGAGTCCAAGTAGAAATTTTTAATAGATCAAGATCAAAAAATGTTGCTTTAGGAATTGTGAGAACTGAAATTAAAATATTTTTAATATTACTGTTTTGCAGGTATTTCTTAATTTGACCAAAGATTTTGCAAAAGATGAACAAACTGATGCAGAGTTATCTCAAGAGGGGCCCAGTTTTAATGTGGATAATGACGGCTTGTCCATGAACTCTAACAATGTCTTTGAACCAGATGGTATGAAAATAGTGTAATTTTTCACTGGCTTAAGTTTTTATCAAAGGAAAAGCTTGTAGTATCTAGAACGGTGTACAGTGACTTACAGCAAGATGGCATTTTTAGCAAGATTGTGAAATATCAGGTTAACTTCACAAAAACGTAAGCTGGGTTGATAATAAATTGGGTGGACAGGACAAAATCACTAAGTATGGCTGGTGATGGAGCAATTTCAGGCTACAATTAGAAATAAGATAGCTTTGTGGGAACTCCAGTATCTCTTAACCTGAAATCAAACACTGTTCATGACTAGAAATATAATGAGGAGTTATTCTGTGCCATTTCATCCTTGATCTGTTTTGTCCCTCAGAAATTAGCTTACCAAGAAAAACTACTTCCATCTCAGACTTTAGTGAGAAGGTGGGAAATGGTGACATAATCTAATAGGACTCTATGCCTAGGCTAAGGAATAATTCACTTGCCACTTAAATTTTATATAATTACTTAATAATTGCAATAGCTCCTTAAATATTGTTCAGTTATTGAAACATAGGCTGAGTTTTAATTAAGTACAAGGCTGCTACTCAGCAGCAATCCACAAACTCCAAAATCACACACACACACACCCCAGTTATCATATGAAACAAGAACAATGAGTGACTGGGACTATCACTAACTTCATAGGTCTTGTTTTTGTCAAAGATGCAAACAACCATAACTAATTCAGGAAATCAGACCTCTAACGCTAGAGCTCCCTGGCTGTGGAGAAGATATTCAATTACCTGTATATCTGGCAGTAGCACCTTACCTCCTTATAGCCCTAGGAACAACCTTATTGAAACACCATGATCTCTCAGACTGTTTAATCTACTGATCATGTAGCTTTTCATTCTTTCCATTATAAGCACAATGTAGGCCTGAGGGGAGAATGTTGATGACCCAGGATGAGGGGGGTTAGATAGGTTGCCTTGCCAAAAGCAAAACACAGCCATTTCCAGAAGTGCATTTGGAAAAGAAGAAACACAGTGTGAGTCCTAACGTCAATCCTGCTAATAAGGCAGCAGCCAGAATTTAGGATTGTCTAGGATTTTAAAAGAGAAATAATGTTTTTGTATGGTTTATGTGTACTAGTGGGATGAATTGGATAAAACTAAGTATAATAAGGAAACAGAATTAAGTCCTTATGTATTTCTTTTCTTTTTCTTTTTGATGAATAGATCAAGTCCTGATTAACACAGGAAAGCCAAACAATCTTTCTCTCCTGCTGAGGAAAGCCACAGCATTGTTCATTAAACGTTTCCATCACACTCGACGCGATGTGAAAGGTTTTATTGCTCAAGTTATCCTTCCTGTGCTCTTTGTGACAGCTGCTATGGGCCTGGGCAACTTGAGAACCAAGGTGGCAGAATACCCAGCTCTCCATCTCTCACCAGCCTTGTATGGTTCTTCCAGCCAGTCAGACTTCTTTGGGTGACTATTCATTTTTAGTAATTCAGTTGGCTTAATGGAATGTGATGCACGTGGAGTAAGAGCGGTGACCAAATTGTCACCAGTGTGACTAGAATCATTATAGTTCCTTGTATGTAAGTATCAGATATGCTAAGAAAATGAAGGATAAGAGACAGAAAAAATCTTTTTTGTTAACTTCAGCAGTATCATACTTTCTAGAGTTTTAAAAGTAAAGCAAATTATAAGTTTATGTCAGCTCTCCCAGATAAACCAGACAAGAAACATTGACTAGATGAATTAATTCTCCCCCCCCCCCATAAGGCTATCTTAACAAAATATTGTAAAAGTACAAAGTTCCCAGTGCCACGTTTGACTGCTTGATCCATTAGGGAGGGAACTTCTGGAAATTCCACTGGGGTTATGCCACTGGGGTTTTCTGGTTGTCTTGACTAATTGTTCCCTAGGCAGCATCTTTTCCTCTTGTTCCGCAATGTCATTCATACATTCTATTGCATTTTTATAAGGCTTATCAATATAGCCCAACAATTCAGTAAGCTTTCAGGGTATTCAATTAATTTGAACAAATCTCCTATTTGCCACCATGTGCTGCTAAAATGCTTCAAGTGTTTATTCATTTTTAACCTTCAGTTGGGTGAAACAGTGTCCCATGGGGCAACCATTTTTGAACCAAATATTACATTTTGAATTTAACCAAGCATTACATTTTGAATTTAACTTACAGAATGCCAGAACATATTATTCCTATGGGAATGAAATACGAGAAATTTATCATATGATTGCCATGTCAGATACTCCCTGATAGCTTTCCACAAGTCAGTGGGGAAGCCAGGAGGAAGTATACATTTTATTGTGACTGTTGAGACTCCTTGCCAGCTTTCCACAAGCAAACTGGAAGGGAGTGTCAACAATGAGGAAGCCAGCAGGGAAGGTTGCAAGTTGCTCAGTTAAGCCTCCCGCAACCATACAACTTCTCTAGGCTTGTGCGCTTATATCACATCAGCCACTTGCATAGTCCTGTGCACCTTTCCCAACCTCTACCTCATCCCCAGGTAGTCTCCCTGACTTATGTTGTGGCTCTTGTGCATACCATGAACCTTTCCCAACCCACACTGTGTCCTTCCTGATCTGCACAACCCACACTGTGTCCTTCTCTCACATATTCTGCATACCTTCCTAATCCACATCATAACCTCACACAAAAGAAGTGCTGCACAATTCAGGGATGGTGTGTGGGATGCATGAAACATGACCCCTGGGTTGGGGTGGAAGTATGCAGGGTGTGGCATGGATCAGGAAGGGTGCACAGGGATGCAAAGGGATGACTGTTTGGTAAGGAAATTCTTCTGAAATGCTGATCCTTGGATCGCAAAGGAACTACTACCTCTTATATGTTCATGGAATCATTTGTGAATTGGAGTTTTACTAAGAATTTTGAGCATATTAAATATCTTATAATTATCTAAAATTGGAAATTTTGTTTCAAGATAAATATTTCAATGGCCCTCATTTTAAAAAAAAGTTTGTTAAATTACCTAAGGGGGAAAAAAGAAAATGAAAAATAAATTGAGGCTCTTGTATGCTGCTCCTCTCCGGAGGGAGGCTGGACCCATTCATATGGTCCACCCCTGGCGATGGATGGATCCTGATGGGTTCCAGAGGGAACTGGGGATATCTTGGAGTTGCTGCTGCACAGTCCTGCTTAAAGGCGTGGCAGCAGCTGGAATTTAAGGTTGGCCGCAACTTTGGACAGGATCACGTCATGCAGCCTCTCTTGACTCATCCTTCCAGATCCTCCCCATGGGTTACACAGGAGCTATGGATTCTGAAAAGAGCCAAGAAATGCCTAGAATATCACTGGAGGAAGACAAGGGATGACTCTGACCAGACTTGACTTAGATCCGCTATTAAGACCTACTTCTGAGATTAGCCCATACCACTCATGCCAGCAGAGAGGCATATTGCAGGTTCCATCAACCTGATTTTTCTGGCTGGTTAGGTCCAGGAGGAAGGCCTTCTCTACTGTTGCTCCTGCCCTCTGGAACATCTTGCCTCCTTCTATGTGAGGTGTGAGGTTGGCACCAATCCTTCTAGCCTTTCATAAGGGCCTAAAGATGTGGCTCTGCCAGTCAGCTTGGAGCTCCAGTGTGAGAACAGCGCAATGGAAGTAGTTGATTGAGTAATATCGTAACAGATTCCACTTCCTCCACTCTGCTCCCACCCTCCCCACGTGTCCTTGGTTTTAATGTCTGATATTAACTTTTAATGTTTTAATTGTATATGTAACTGTAAGCCACCCAGAGTTACCCTACAGGCAGCAAATCAATCAACCAATCAATCAACCAATCCAAAATAATCACTTCAAAAACAAGGAACATCAAAATAAAAAAAACAAAATAAATCACATGAAATATTTAAATAGTGTGTGTGTAGATATTAGTATTCTGACACAAGATAGTTTTCTTCAGTTTCCATTGTCATTCAGTTTTAACATGGGATATTCAGGGATTCAAAAGAATGTCGACTATCCTGTTGATTACTTATACTTGCCTTGAAATTGCAATTAACCATTTGCTTTGTTTGTGTGTTTAGGAATTTCAATCAAACCACAGATATTTTGGTTGCTTCAATGCTCTCTTTTCCTGGAATAGATAATATCTGCCTAAACAGAAGTAATTTGTAAGTAGCTCTTCTTCATTTTTAAGTAACTCTGATAATAACAGAATAATCATCTTCTTCCTACTTTTAATAACTCCTCTTCTAAGAAGACAAATGACTGAAAATTATGAGTCATCAGGGTAATCTGCTCAGCTATTATACCAAGCTGCCAACATCAGAAAATATTCTAACAACAATCAGTGATTTATATCAAAATTTGGTGCAGTTAAATATCCAATATTAAATGTGCAATATTCTTCACCAAAATATCAAATCTAGATTTATAGTTCTCACTGATGTTCAGTGTTCTCAAAATTAAGATATTTTAGATTTTTTGTTGTTACTAAATCTTGGGGTTCAGCAGTAACGCAATATAAATTATTATTATCTAGAACAGTGGTTCCCAAAGTGGGTGGTACCGCCCCTTGGTGGACGGTGGGATGCCTTAGGGGGGCGCTTAGAGGCAAAGGGGGTGGCAGGGAGGCACTAAGAGGCGGCAGGGGGGCGTTCGAAGCGCAGGCTCACTGACTGCCGGCCACGCAGCCCATTGACTGTTTCATCACTCTGTAGCCAGCGCCTCGAATGCAGAACCTGCACGGGGTGAACCTTGCCAAGCTTGTGGGGTAGAGAGGTGGGAGGTGGCGGAAAGGGGGCACCTTAGCTTGCCAGCTGCCCTCTCCGGTGGAAGCGGCGGAGGCATGCCAGAAGGCCTGAAAGCAAAACCCTCCCAAGGTGCGCAGTGGAAGGGGTGGGTGGTCCGGCGTTAGGGCTCCTTCCCAGGAGGAGAACAAGGGAGTGTGCAGCACCCGCCCGGCCTCTGCCTCCAGCCAGCCGGGCTTGCGTGCAGGATGAGGGTAGGTGCAGCTGCAGCTGTCCAAGGTGCGTGGCTCAGTTTGGTTCACCTCTACATGGATGTCCCGGACCTAGAACCTTGCCTCCCTCTGCAGCCCGGTTCTTCTGACCGAGCCCTGTGCTTGCTTGCTTGCTTAGTTTCCAAGCAATCATTTCCTCTGCCTCTGCCGGTCTGGGCTGCTTCCGCATGCCTTCCTCCTCCCAAGCGGAACATAAAGATGGGCGGAACACTTCTCCAAAGTTGGGAGTCTCTGAGCGTGTGCAGAGTACCTCCCCTTGCTTGGCCCGATGGAAATGGACCTTGGGTTGAAGCAAAGAGGGTGAAGTCGGCCGCATCGCTGTCTCGGGGAGATTGGTATTGCAAAATTGGATGCCAAAGAAAGAACTGGGGCAGGGGGCTGGAATTAAACAGCATGCTAAACTCTAAACCAGAATGGCTGGGTTGATATATTCAGCCCATGTTTCTCAACCTTGGCAACTTGTGTGGACTTCAATTCCCACTCTGGCTTTGCTGTACTTTCCCAAAGTGCCGCCGCTGTCGCATTCTGTCTGTCTGTCTGTCCGTCCGCCCATCCATCCATCTATCCATCCAAAAGGTCTGCCTGTCTGTCTGCCTGCCTTCCTGCCTACCTCCCTACCTGCCTGCCTACTTGTCTTTCTGTCTACCTACATACCTATCTACCCTGTTTCTCCAACAATACGGTCTCCACCAATAGGAAGGCCCAGCATGATTTCTAGGCATGAGGTGAAATTAAGCCCTGCTCCCAAAATTTAGGCCTATTTAATCCATGCGTTTCCCCGCCATTTCTCACATTGTTCGTTAAAACTACATGAGGTGAAGAGAAATGGGGGGAATGGGGGGAGAAAACTTGCCTTTAGGAGCGCCCCGCACATAGAATACCCCAATCTACTACCGATAGAACATCGGCCGATAGAAGCTCCCCGAAGGCAGAGTCACCAGCCGCTTCTATCGGCCGGTAGAAGCAGCCTCGGGGCGAATGCCCATGCACACTCCCTCGCCACAAAGCTGTTT